TTGCCTCCATGAATCGATTCCCCACAAATGTCACAAAGGAAAAGGAATAATTCAAGGCAAATTATACTCACAGGTCCACTGATAGGTTTAATGGCTTGGAATCACTCTCAAGGTTCAAACTAAACAGGTCACAGCTCTCGCGATCTCACGACCGGTTTACAGGGTGAACAATGACAACAACTCAACGACTCAACTTAAAATCACGAGCGCTTATCGTTTATACTGAACATTGCATGCAAATGGCCTACGGGTAAATTTCCGGTCCTTGACACATATCATTCACGGCTATTTAACAAAATCACTTATCGAAATAATTTGATCCATCACGTGGGTTTTCTGTCATCAACTCAAGTCTGCACAATCACGCAATCACAAATACTAGCCTCAGTCTGCGACACACTCCGCCCATATATTTCTTTCTATGGAATATATGTTCTCTTTCGAGACTGATCCCTAGTTAATCATTTCCGAGTTTAATTAAACAAAACTAAAGTTAAAGCGTTCTCAGTTCATTGTTCCTTTAAATGTCACTGGATTCTTCTGCACGTGCAATCCCCTGGATAAGCTCATTGGCAGTTGCTGCTGCAGCTCGTGTTGGCCTGAAAGCTGGGGCTACCGGGTTTAGGCTTGAGCTTGCCATGGGCTTGCGGTTGACCGATAACTCGAGTGGGTAGAGGTGCTGCACGGCCCGTTCCATTACTCCCTTTCCTGCTCGCATCTTGGCAGCACGTATAATTCCGTCACGTCCTACAATCAGCTCATCCACGATTCCAAGTTTCCATGAGTGTCGATTTCGAGACTCGTCCTGTATAATCACTACGTCTCCGACTGAGGGGTGTGGGGTCTGCTCTACCCCACTTCTTCTGGGCCGCTCTCTTAAACTCTGCACGTACTCTTTCGACCACCTAGACCACATCGCTTCTTTACACCGAAGGAGGTACTTCGCTCTCTTCCTAAGATCTGTCTCCTGAAGGTGGTGTGGACTGAGCCCGGGGAGCTGGGTTGGTTGAAGGTGCAGCATAGAGCTTGGTGTAAGCACTGGCATCTCAACATCATCCTCAAGGTAACTCAGTGGGCGACCATTTATGGCAATTTCTACATCGAGTACGATGTCAAACAATTCGCTCCAGGTTATGGTTCCATTACCCACTGCTTTACGAAAGGCAGACTTGAAAACGCCTATGAGCCTTTCGAATTGGCCACCCCACCATGGGGCTCGGCTGAGGTTAAATCTCCAGGCAATGTCATGCTTGGTAAGGTAGTGGTGGAATTTCTCTTTCTTTCGGACTTTGCTAATCCAATACGCAGCGGCCTTAAACGTGCTTCCATTGTTGGAGTAGATCACCTGCGGGCGACCACGCCTGGCTATGAACCCTTTCAAACTTGTGAGAAACTTGTCCGTCTCTAGGCTTGGGAGGGGATCGAGATACACTCCTCGTGTAAGGCTGCACGCGTAAAGAACCAGGTAAGCTTTTCCCTCTGTTTTCGGCGTGAATCGATATTTAATGGGACCAGCGAAGTCAATTCCAATCGTCTGGTAGGGCGTCACTCCTTGGGTGCGCGTGAGTGGCAAATCACCTGGCGGTGGTGTCTGGTAAGCCTGAGCTTGGAATCTTTTGCAGCCCCAAAAGCTTTTGATGACTTTCTTTGTCAATCTTCTCAGGCGAGGTACCCAGTGGGTTTCTCTGACCTTTTTCATGGTAAGTGTGACTCCCCCGTGAATGGTCGAAAGGTGGGCTTGTTGAACAAACTTGTAGGTAAACAAGTTGTCGTCAGGAAGGTAGGTGGGGTAGGCACCAACAATTCTTCCTCTGCACTCTAGTATGCCGTTGTTCCGTGGCTGCAAATTAAGTTGAAGCTTGTCTGCTTGGAAATTATTGGCGCATGTGGCTTCGGCTTGGGAACATTTAGTCCACCAGACTTCCTGGCACTTTATTTCCTCTGTGGTCAGCGGTCCTTCCAATCTTGTTGACTTCGAGTTTTTGCAGTTGGCGAGAAATCTGCTGGTCCATGCGCAGATGCGCAAAGTTTTCAACAGGCTAAAGGTTTCCAAAATCTCATTGAACACATCGTTCTTTGGTAGGGCAATAGTCAGGATTTCCTTTGTTACTTTGGCTTCTGCTTGAGATTCGGAGGAAGGTTTAACTTCAATGTTTTTAGGCAACTGATCTGGATTAGATAACCACGGGGGTCCATGTATCCATAGCGACGTACTGGCCACGGCTCCACCCCTACTTCCCAGGTCTGCTGGGTTCTGATCTGTTGGCACGTGGCGCCAGACGATTTCTCGATGCTGTTGGATCTTTTGCACTCGGTTTGCAACGAACTGGCGGTATTCTCCACTGCCTTGAATCCAGCAAAGGGCAACTGTTGTGTCTAACCAACAGTGAATAACAGGATCACAACTTTGCAGTGCATTACGAACGTTTACAGCCAGGTTAACCGCCATATGGCCTGCAACTAACTCCAGTCTGGGAATAGTTAGGTTCTTCTTTGACAGCCGTGACTTAGAAGTGATGAGACCCTGAGAGGTTCCTGACTCTTGGCTGACAACCGCGTAGACCGCCGCGCAGACCCCTTTTGAGCTTGCATCTCCGAAGGCGTGGAGTTGGATAGAATCAATTGCTTCTCTGAATGGTGCAATTGTGCGCTTCACACTCACGCGTTCCGGAAGATCGATACACCACTTCCTCCAGCTCTTCTCTAACTCTACTGAGAGAGGCGCGTCCCAAGGTTGCTTTGTTTCACACATGTCTCT